TCTCCAGGGTCATCTGGCACCAATGGCAAGACATAGATTAGGAAGACTGGAGAGAATCCTCATTGAGACCAGAAGAATTCAGCACTTGATGGCCAGCCTTCTAGTGATGGATTAATGAACTTCCCTGGATATATCTAAATTCATCAAACTTAACTGAGTGGCCCAAGGTAGAGATGTCAAACACGGGCCACATGGGGCCCACTATACTCCCTAGTGCAACCCAAAACAGATTAAAGCATAGTTGGGAAATATTTAACAAAATAAATACAAATAAAATAAAACATTGAAAATGTTAATATGTGGTTTTCTAAGTTAATATGCAACCCACTGAGATCCTTATGTATGGTTTAACGACCTTTGTTTCTATTTGAATTTGATACCACACCAAATTCAAGTTCACAATGTGAACTTATATACTGCTGCTGTTCAGTCGTTTCAGTTATGTATGACTCTGTGACCCCATTTGGGGTTTTCTTGGCAGAAGAACTGGAGTGGTGTGCCATGTCCTTCTCCAGCTGATTTTACAGATGAGGAATTGAGGCAAACAGAGTTAAGTTACTTGGCCAGGGTCATAAAGATGGGAAGTGTCTGAAGTGGGATTTGAACTCAAGATTAGTCTTCCTGGTTCTAAGCCCAGTGAAAGCACTGCACCATCTTGCTTCAAACTCATATATTAGATAACATATAATATATGATGTTTATATATGTATATAATATGCATTACAGTAATTTATCTAAGTATTTTTCAGTGTCTACTCATATCCTATGCTCATCTCCTCCCTAATACTTCATCATGGCATCAAGGTGAACATTGATTCTCAAAGGTTAAAAAGGTCAAAGATAAAAGGGTTTTGAGTACAGAACCAGCAAAGAACCATATGCCAGGCTCTCCAGATTTAGAAAGGGTCAATGCCAGAGAATTTGACCACCACGTGATGATTTATTTTTTCATATACAGCAACTTGTGAATAGAAAGTGCTTACACTGATAAAATTACAGGGAGCAAGAATAGGAGGAAAGAAAGAATAATTAGCCTGCATTTTCCTGCATTAACCTACAATCAAGGCTGCATTTTCTTCTATCTTAATCATTCAGTCACATGAAGTGAAGACTTTGGCTCCAACACCTTTGAGAACAAAATCAGTTCCTGGAACTCTGCTGTTTCTGCTATTTTATTGGTGGCCATGAAATTCTGGGGCAGCAGGATGGAAGCATCTACCCTAAGCAGAAATGCTAGCTTTAGAGATCACTCCCAAAAGACTAGGGCTCCTGCAAATCGGGGCCAGACCTTCCTTCTGGGAGAGTCAGAACTAGGTCCTATGAAAGATCTGACCAGCAAAGAGGCCATGTTCATAAAAGAAGATCAAGGAAGAGAAATAGAAGAAGGGGTAGAAACATACAGAGGATTCCAACTAGTGCCCACCAGGAAGGGTGATCAGATGAAAAGAGCCTAGGAACACCAAGTACATGGCTTTGGCTTCCTGGTGAAAACATATTCTCAGATATTCAGTCCTTGCAGGACAAAGCCTTTGCACCTAGTAACAGTCCAGTTCCTGCCCTGAGGTCCTGGACTCCTAATAGGTGAGAATTCTTCATATGTAGCCAGATCTCAGGTCATATTCATGCCATTCATTTCCTTCCCCCCTCCAAATTTCCAACTTCAGCCCTGGATACAGTAATTGAATCAATACCTCCATTCTTAGAAACAATGCATCATCAATTACTCTATAGCTATCCCTGTGACTTCCCAGACCAAAATACTCCTCCGTGGCCACTACTACTACTGTGTTATATTCCTCTATTAAGCTCATTTAATGCAGGGACCATTGTATTTGTACCCACTCCAGCAGCTTAGCACAGTGCCTGACACATAGTCAGCATCTGATAAATACTTTTTCATTCATTCATTTTCATTTAAATAAGAAGTTAACATACATGCTTTTTGCTTTTTTCATCGAGATCACACTTTAAGCATATGACCATGTTTCAAGGGGCAGCTTGTATTTCTACCAATATGGTACTTTCCATTCATTCCCCCTCCTCCTTCCACTGTAGGAAAACACATTCTTCTAGAAACTTAGTGTACTAAAGGAGGATGAAGGGAATTATATTTATAGAATTTGTCTAGAAACAATTTTCATGTTTTGTTTGTGTTAGCTGAAGCCCAAACATGCCGAATGGGTTACCACTCACTGACTGTTGGAAAGAATCCAAAATATGAGTCCCTAGAATTATTATACTTTCTTGGCCAGTGGTTCCTTAGCACCTGTTAATCCTTTAACACTCCAAAAATCCATCTTGTAGATAAATTAAAACAGACATCTTAAAGCCAGGCTAAAATTCCCCCCAACCCACTCAATATGCAGTAACTCGAGCAGTATTTATCTATAGTCCTCCACCCCTCACCATTTTATAGAAGTGTAGGCCTGTAGGATTCCTTAGAAATAATTTAATAGAATTCCCTGAGTCTCAGAAAGGTGAAGTGATATACCCAAGATTACAGAAGTCCAAGTAGAAACTGGACTGTGAGTGATCATAGGATCCCAGCCCGCCATCTTGCCTCCTGTTGTTATTCAGTCATAAGCAACACTTAGTGACCCCATATGGGGTTTTCTTGGCAAGGATACTGTAGTAGTTTGTCATTTTCTTCTCCAGCTCATTTAATGGAGGAGGAAACTGAGGCAACCAGGGTTAAGTGACAGCTAGTAAGTGTCTGAGGCTGAATTTGAACTCAGGTCCTCCTGACTCCAGGGCCAGTGCTCTATCCAATGCACCACCAAGGAGCCATGAAAAGGCAACCACCTTCAGGCCTTCATTTTCTCTCTCATTCACACACATATACTTTTTTTTTGGTTAGGCAATGGGATTAAGTGACTTGCCCAAGGTCACACAGCTGGTGAGTATCATGTGTCTGAGGCTGGATTTGAACTCAGGTCCTCCTGAATCCAGGGCCAGTGCTCTATCCAATGCACCACCTAGCTGCCTCCCTGCACTCACTTTTTGTGTTTTGGTTTGGTGTTGTTTTTTTTAATTAATTAATTAATAATTTTCAACATTCACTTCCATAAGATTTTGAGTTTTAAATTTTCTCTCCCTCCTTCTCCTCCCCACTCTCCAAGATGCCATGCAATCTGATATAGGCTCTACTTATACATTCCTATTAAACATTTTCACATTAGTCATGATGTAAAGAAGAATTAGAACGCATGGGAGGAACCACTTAAAAGAACAAAACAGAAGAACAACAAAAAAGAGAGCAGACGGTATGATTCCGTCTGTATTCAGACTCCATGGTTCTTTCTCTGCATGTGGATAGCATTTTCCATCATGAGTCTTAGCGCTAAGCCACGATGTGGCCGTTACTGTGTACAGTGTTCTCCTGGTTCTACTCACTTCACTCAGCATCAGTCCATACAAGTCTTTCCAGGTTTTTCTGAAGTCCACTTGCTTATCATTTCTTTAGCACAATAGTATTCTATTACATTCATATACCACAACTTGTTCAGTCATTCCCCAATGGATGCACATCCCCTCAATTTCCAATTCTTGGCCACCACAAAAAGAGCTGCTACAAATATTTTTGTACACCTACATATGTACACTTGTATACACAAAACAATAGTTAAAAAAAAAAAGTAGCACCAGCAAAAGTGGAAGGAAGTGAAGGTGACCTGTGGGAAATGAAGTGAAATCATCTGGGAGAAAGAAGCCCAGCTATAAGATGAGAAGAAGAAGAAGAAGAAGGGAAGAAGATGGGAGTCAAATCTATCTTATTGGAAAGCAGTGTGGTACGGTGGAAAGACCAGTGGCCTGTAGCCAGAGATCTTAGTTTAAATCCTATCTCTAACAGATGACTTGTGACCTCATTTGCAAAAGGACAGAAGGTGGAGACTAGATGTCCTCTGAGATCCCTTCCAACTAGTGAGGTCTTCATCTGGGGGTCCATGAACTTGTTTTCTTAATAGTTTTATAACTGTACTTCAGTATAATAGGTTTACTTTATAATCCTATCAGCTAGGTGGTACAGTGGATAGAGTACCAGATCCGGAGTCAGGAAGACTCTTCTTCCTGAATTGCAATCTGGCCTCTGACACTTACTAGCTGTGTGAGACTGGGCAAATCACTTAACCGTATTTGCCTCAGTTTTCTCATCCGTAAAATGAGCTGGAGAAGGAAATGGCAAACCAATCTGGTATCTCTGCCAAGAAAACACCAAATGGGGCTATGAAGAATGGAACATAAATGAAAATTACTACTATAATCCTATGCATTTTATTTTATATATTTTAAAAAATTATTCTGAGAAGGGGTCTACAGGCTTCACCAGACTACTGAAAGGGTCCATGACCCAGAAAAGGTTAAGAACCCCTGCTTCCAACTGTAGATCTCAAATCCTAATCTAAACATATTGGGGATTTCCAAGCAAATATTGAACATTTACCATACTAAGCTAAAACCCAACTGGATTAGCAAATGTGAACAAATTCACACTCTGAATTCCCTTCCAACTCTGTGATTCTATGTTTCTAACCTTTTGGAACAAGTAGTGTGATCTGAAAATAGAAGCGGCTGCCTGGGACAACCATGAGTTCCCTATGAGCAAAGTGATCAAGTAGCGGTTAAGCCACCATATTGTGATGGGATGTTGTAACAGATAATGATGGTTGGTTATCAGCATATCCAAGATACAGGCCTATGATCATTAGCCCTGCCCTTGGCTGGCTGTGAGTGACAGCAGAGTTTTTGCTATGGATACAATAGGAGGTGGCATCTGACAAACAGAGAGGGTAAACCACAGGCTGTGAGGCTGTTGGGAGATAGCTTCGCCATTTTTTTCTTGACGACTACAATGGTATCAAACTCAAATAGAAAGGGGAAAGGAGGGGAGCATGAATCTGTAATAAGAAAACCCCAAGTGGAGTGCCCTGCAGCACACATGTCGACTTAGAAAACCACATGTTAGCATTACCTATGTTCTATTGTATTTTTTATTTATTTTGCTAAAAAGCAAAAGAAATGGTGTGGGCATACTTGGGATTGTTGCAGGTTGGCCAGCAGGTGGTATATTTGACCCCTCAGGACTATAATATGGTGAAAGACATAGGAAAAGAGATTAATGGCACTCCAACATAAAGAGGACCTTAGAAGGCAAGAGATCCTGGTGGCAAGACATGGACTGGGGCCCATGGTTAGGTCAGCTATAGTGAGTAGCATTCTTCTAGCTTTACAGAAGGAGTTGGCATCCTGTTAACAAAATCTGTATCTGAACAACTTCCAAGTAGATTCCAGTTTGCTGAAGGTTGACCCTAGACCAAGTGCCACTTCATCATTGGGAGACCACTGACAATATCAATAAATGAGACCATTTCCTTGAGGTTTCTTATTAGAATCTGTAGAAAGATTATGGGAAATCAAGTTAGCATCTGCTTAACAAAACATTTAATGCTTTTTTTCTATTCAAAGGAAACAGAGTGGGGGAAGAGGAAGCTTAAAAGAGAATTAAATTTTATTTATTCAAAGTGGGTTGTATTTGTAATAAAATTAAAAGTCTAGTATCATAAAAAGCAAGTATGTTAAGTGCTTAGAAAATGAAGGACTGAAAGGAGAGTAATGAAATTGATTTCCCTAAGTATTTTGCTGCCTAGTTTGCTGTTATGGAACTTCTTTAATAATAAACTCCAGTGGGGCAGCTAGGCAGCACAGTGGATTAGAGCACCAGCCCTCCGGAGGACCTGAGTTCAAATCCAGACTCAGACACTTACTAGCTGTGTAACCCTGGGCAAGTCACTTAATTGCCTCCAAAAAAAAAGTCTGATTACCTGCAAATATAATAATAATAATAATAATAATAATAATAATAACAATAATAATAATAATAAACTCTAGTGGGACCCTATTACCTCCAAGATCAAATATAAAGCCCTCTGTTTGGCTTCTAAAGACCTTCACAACTTGGCCCCCTCCCACCTTTCCATTTTCTTACAACATTCCAAGTACTCTGTAAATCAGCAACACTGTCCCCCATGTTGTTCCTTACACATGGGCCTCCGTCTCCTACGGTGTCTTTTTACTGGCGTACCCCTGCCTGGAATGTGCCCCCTCTTAGCCTTTATCTCATGGCTTTCTTATCTTCCTTCAAGTCTTTGCTAAACTCCTATCTTCTGCAAGAAGCCTTTTCCAGTCCTTCTTAATCTTAGTGTTTTCCCTCTGAGACCATCCCCAATTTATTCTGTATGAAGGGGTGTGCTGGTAAATGTTTAACAATCAGTTATCTGAGAAAAAAAAATTTACTCATGACATGTTTTAAGATTAATCTGCATTACTAATATTTTCTTCATCACTTTCTTAAATCTAGAAGCAATAAATCAAGCTGATTTCCAAGATATAAATGTGCACACTCATAATTTAACAACTGGCTCTCCTGAGCTGGTATGATGAGCTTGCTCATGAGCATACCCCTTCCTCTATGTAACCTGTTTCTTTTTTTTTCTTTTTTTTTTTTTTGCGAAGCAACTGGGGTTAAGTGACTTGCCCAGAGTCACACAGCTAGTAAGTGCTATGTGTCTGAGGTCAGATTTGGAACTCAGGTCCTCCTAACTCCAGGGCTGGTGCTCTATCCACTTCACCACCTAGCCTCCCCATGTAGCTTGTTTCTACATAGTTGTGTGTTGTTGTCTCCCCATTAGACTATGAGCCTCTTAGAAGCAGAGACTGGTTTTTGCCTTTCTTTGACTCCCCAGAACTTCGTAAATTTCCTAGCACACAGTAGGAGCTTCACGAATACTCATAGATTGATTTTTTTTTATAAATAAATGAATTAAAGGTATTGATGAATTGTACAGAGAATTGGACTAGAACATCCCTAAGATTCCTTAAAACTAGAAGGACTTTGATTCTCTGGTCGATCATAAACTGGACACTATATTATTTATATGGCTCCCTAGTTTAAGAAACACACAGGCTTATTTTTTAAATAAATGAAGTAAGGTGCTGCCTATACAGGGCCAATGTATAATGTGAAGTGTTCAAGAAAGGTCTTCTTGGTCACGAATTTCTGTTATTCATCCTTCATGGTGTAGGATGTTTCACCATTAGAAATTTATTCCTTTGAGTTAAAGCATGCTTTTCCCTTAGTCTTCTCTCTTTTTCAATTTAAATTTTATTTTTAATTTGTATAATAAAAAAAAATGATTGCACATGAAACTGCAAATCTATTACATACAATTTGCTATTCCTTTTAAATATATAATAAAGTTATTATGTGCATTTCTTCTTTTTTTCCCTCCTCCCTCCCACTCTAGAGATTGCTATCATTAAACACAAATGTGTGTATATATGTATATGTATATATATATATATATATACACACACACACACACACACACACACACACATACACATATATACGTAAAAGCATTCTGTACATACTTCTATTTATCAGTTTTTCTCTGAATACAGATAGCATCTTCCTTCATATATCCTTTGTAGTTAATTTGGGTATTTATAAGTCAAAATGACTTCTTCACTCAAAGTTGTTCTTAAAACAAGATTGGTTTCCCGGTTTTCTCTTGAAAGTAATTATCCTTGGGACAGCTAGGTGGTGAAGTGGATAGAGCTCCAGCCTTAGGGTAGGAGGACCTGAGTTCAAATGCGGCCTCAGACACTTGACACTTACTAGCTGTGTGACCCTGGGTAAGTCATTTAACCTCGATTGCCTCATCAAAATGCAAAAAAAAAGAAAAAAGTAATTATCCTTAGGAGAAGAAAGCGAAAACAAGTCATCAACATTTACACTATAGAGAAGAATGATCTGACTTAGGCTATTCCCTAAAGTAACAAATTGCTAAGAACGATGAGACATGAAAAAGGTCAGTTTAGTTATGGAGGAAGAAAAAGAGAGAGATGTGTGAGCCATAATGTACAGTGTAGGGAGGCTAGGGCATGAGGATGGGAATGGGATGGGGAATGAAGGCTATTGAATGGGCCAAAGGGTAGCCTCCCTGTGCCTTCAAGATAGTTCTAGGAAACCTCTAGAGAGTTAATTGATCATTATATCAGGTCTAGTCCTGGGTAAATCTGTGAATTATTCAGAAGTTTCTCTTTAGCAAACTGATCTCCCATCCCAAAGTTCCTATTTACTTTTTGCCTTCCAGTCATAACTTGCACTGATCCTTTATTAATGCTAAAGTATAAATAACTGAAGGGGCAGCTAGGTGGCACCATAGTGCATAGAGCACTGGACATGGAGTCAGGAAGACTCAGCTGGCTGAGTTCTAATCTGGCCTCAGACACATACCAGCTGTGTGACCCTGGGCAAGTCATTTAACCCTGTTTGCCTCAGTTTCCTCATCTGTAAAATGAGCTGTAGAAGGAAATAGGAAACCACTCCAGTATCTTTGCCAAGAAAACCCCAAATGGGGTTGCCACTGAAATAAATAATAAAGTATTGCCCTTCCCAGAGGTAATTGCATTTTGACAGGGATTAAAACCCAATGTTAGTTAGAACAACAAAAGAGGCATTTCAGGTATCCCCCAGCCAATGGGGGAGAATTTCTTTGAGTTATCAGAGTTTTCCTAATGTCTTAAAATCATACCACATATATTCATTCACAGAAGTTAGACCGTAAGAGACCTCAAGAGGCAGGTCAGGACAGCAGGGTGGTTGGGAGGGAGGAGCTTGGTATGATAGAAAAACAGAAATTCTGGCATCATAGGACCTAGGTTCAAATCCTGCTTTTGATGCTGACTACCTACTATGTAACTTTGGGCAAGACATTTAATAAAAATAGCTAACATTTTGTTGTTGTTCAGTTGTGTCTAACTCTTCATGACCCCTTTTGGGGTTTTCTTGGCAAAGATACTGGAGTGGTTTCCCATTTCCTTCTCTAGCTCATTTGACAGAGAAAACTGAGGCAAACAGGGGTAAGTGACTTGCCCAGGGTCATACAGCTAGTAAGTGTCCAAGGCCATATTTGAATTCAGATTTTCCTGACTCCAGGTCTAGCTTTTGTATCCACAGTGCCACCTCGATGTCATTTAATCTCCCTGGGCCTCAGTTTCTTCATCTGTAAAAGTAAGAGGTTGGACTAAAAGGCCCCTTCTACGTCTATCTCTAGGATCAGGAAGACTGAGGTTCAACTTACCCCTGACAAATACTGGATTCCTGACCACGGACAAGTTCCTTATCCACTCAAAGCCCCCAGGCAATTCTCTGAGACTGTTAATCACATACCAGTGTTCCTTAGACTGATGAAATCATGTCTGGATCCTAAAGAAGAGAGAAACCATGGAGATGCTCTAGTGAAGGCCAGCACCTTCCTTTTACAGTCAAGACCACCGTGCGCCTACCTATAAGAGCTGGCCCGCTAGACTCATACAAGTAGATAGCCAAGTGGGGAGCTGACCCCAGTTTTCTGATTCCAAATCCATGCGTCTTTGCACAAAACCCCAGCTCACCCTGAACATAAGGCAAGGAAGTCTCAAGAACTGACAATCCATTACATTCTTTTGATTTCAGTTTTCATTCCAAAATATTCCCAGGGTCTTTTCCCATGGAGGAGGCTTTACCTCTTCCCCACTCCACCCGAGGCGATGCCCATTCTCCCCTCCCCAGCAGGAATGGGGCTGCCAGGTTGGTGACCACACAGTATCAGGCAGAAAGTAAAGAAGAATGTGTCCAATTGAAACCAAGACTGGGAAGGGGAAAAGAGGAGGAGGAAAGTGGGGGGGAAGTGTGGTGGGAGGGATTCTGGTGGTCAGAACGCAATTATCCAGGACTGCAGGCATTCATATTCCAGTTTGCATCTCCACAACCAATCTGTAATCAAAACAGAGCATTATGACTGTGCCAAGACAGATTCCAGACTAAATACTTTAATTTAAAAAGGAGGTATTGTTGGCTAGACCTTTCTGTGAGGTGTCTGACAAAAGGATTTTTGCAGGGAGGGGAGAGAAGTCTATGTCCTGATTTAGACAAAGTCAACATAATTTTGAGGGGATAGAAACAGAATGCTAGAATATTAATGTATTAACAACCTCCAGCCCCTTTAGGGAATCTCCTTTCTCTCTTCATTTCTCTTGTCTAGGTTCACAGATTATTAGACATGGAAGGGACTTTATGAATCTTCTAGTCCATCCCAACTTTTAGACATGAGGCCAAAGAGGTCAAATAACTTGGTGTCACATAGGTAGTGCTGGGGCTTAAGAACTGATCTCCATCTCCTCTAAATCTATTCCAGGGTTCTTACCAGTGATACCATGCTGCCTCCTGCAATGTCCCTTATGTTCTCCACAATAGCCCTTTAACAGAAACCTCCCTTCAATTATCTTCTTGTGATAACTGCCCTCAAATATACCCCTAATCCCACTCCAACAACCCTCTCTTACCAACTTCTCTTACTTTCTGGCAAAGGGTATTCATTCATTTACTCACTCAACAATTATATATATATATATATATATACACACACATATACATATATGTATATATATAATATACATATATGTATGTATACATATAATTTTTACTTTAAAGTCTTTAAAATATATTCTTATTTTATTAAACATTTCCCAATTACATTTAAAAAAATTTTAACAATCTTTTTTAAAAAAATTTGAGTTCCAAATTCTCTCTCCCTCCTGCCTTTTCTTTCTCCTTGAGAAAGCAAGAAATTTGATATCAATTATACATGTGCAGTCATGCCAAACAAATTTCCATATTAGCTGTGTTGCAAAAGAAAGCACAGACAAAAAAAAAATTAAAAAATAAAGAAAATTAAAAATAAAAAATATCCAAAAAATATAAATCTCATTATGAGACTTACCCTGAGTCCATCACCTCTCTGGCAGGTGGTGGGTAACATGTTTCTTCATCAGTCCACAGAAATCATAGGTAGCTTTTGCAATGGCCAAAGTTCTTAAAGGCTTTCTCAGAGTCTTTTAAAGTCGTTTGTTGTTACACTTGTTACTGGATAAATTGTTCTCTAACTTCTACTATGCTTCAGCCTAATTAAAAAAAGCGGGTAACAATCCTGATCTCAGGCAAAGCAAAAGCAAAAATAGACCTAATTTAAAAAATAAGAAAGGCAACTACATCTTGCTAAAAGGTATCATAGACAATGAAGTGATATAAATACTAAACATATATGCACCAAGTGGTATAGCATCCAAATCCTGAGAAGTTAAGTGAGTTAAGGTTCACAACCAAACAAGAGATAGGGAGCATTATACAATGTAAAAGATAATTTTGATTATATTAAATTAAAAAGCTTTTGTACAAACAAAACCAATGCAATCAAGATTAGAAGGAAAGCAAAAGGATGGGAAACAATCTTTACAGCAAGTATTTCTGATGAAGGCCTTATTTCTCAAATATATAGAGAACAGAGTCAAATTTATAAGAATACAAGCCATTCCCTAATTAATAAATGGTCAAAGGATATGAACTGGAAGTTTTCAGATAAAGAAATCAAAGCTATCTATAGGCATATGAAAAAGTGCTCTCACTTTTGATTAGAGAAATGCAAATTAAAACAACTCTGAGGTACCACATCACACCTATCAGATTGGCTAATACGACAGAAAAAAGGACAATGGCAAATTTTAGAGAGGATGTAGAAAAATTGGGACACTGAAGTACTGTTGGTGGATGCCGGGAGCGTCTGCGTCCCTGGCTGTGATCTGATGCCGGCAGAGTGTGAAGAGAGAAAGAATCACGGGCCAGGTGAGAGCAGTGAAGAACAAGCTCTGTTTATTGATCTGAGGGCTCAGGCTTATAGAGTACTGGATCAAGCAATAGTAACATTATTATTCATGAAAAGTACAAATCTAATTAGGTGATTTCCTTACTTCCTTGTACCTTGTCTGTTACATTCTTTCCTGCGTCCTGTCCTGTACCCCATCCGTTTCCTCCCTTCCTGCATCCTGTTCTCAAGAGACGGAACAGGGGGGTGGTGAGCCAACATCCTGAGTTTCACAGCTGTCAGGCTTAGTACAAGCTACAGGTAAGACCTGGTCTGGCCTAAGCCCTCCAACTCCCCAAATCCGGCCCTCTATGGGTGGGGTTGTGAACTGATCTAACCATTCTGGAGATCAGTTTGGAACTATGTCTAAAGGGTAACCAAATTATGCATACCCTTTGATCCAGCAATACCACTACCAGGCCTGTATCCCAAAGAGATCATAAAAAAGGGAAAAGGACCTACCTGAGCAAAAATATTTATAGTAGCCCTTCTTGTGGTGGCAAAATATTGGAAACTTAGAGGATGCCCATCAATTGGGGAATGGTTGAACAAGATGAATGTAATGGAATACTATTGTACAATAAGAAATAATGAACAGGTAGATTTCAGAAAAACCTGGAAAGACTTGAACAAACTGATGCAAAGTGAAATGAGCAGAACCAGGAAAATATTGTACAGTGTCAGCAACATTGTAACAACACAATGATCCAAGACAAGTCCAAAGGACTCTCAAAGGAAAATGCTATCCACATCCAGAGAAAGAACTGATGGACTTTGAATGCAGATTAAAGCATACTTTCTTCACTCACTTTATTCTTTTTCATGGTTATTTTCCTTTTGATCTGTTTCTTCTTTCACAACCGTGACTAATATGGAAATGTGTTTTACATGATAACACATGTATAACCTATATCAAATTACCTACCATTTTAGGAAGAGGGGAGGGAGAAAAATTTGGAAACCAAAATGTTGTAAAAATGAATGTTAAAAATTGTCATGACATGTAATTGGGAAAAAATAAAATATGATTAAGGTAAAAAAAAGAACTGCTACAAATATTTTGTACATATTGTGCCTTTTCTCTTTCTTTGACTTCTTTGGAGGTAAAGATCTAGTAGTTATATTGCTGAATCAAAGGATTCACACAGTTTAATAACTTTTTGGACATCATTCCAAATTATTTTCCAGAATGGCTAGATCAATCCGCAGCTCCACCAACAGTGCATTAATATGCCTTTTCCCCCATGGACCCTCTAACATTTATCATTTTACTTTTTTGCCAACTTCAGTCTTATAGATATGAGGTAGAACCTCAGAGATACTTTCATTTGCATTTTTCTCTAATTATTAGCAATGTGAAGTGAGTAAGATTTCAAAAGGCAGACATGAAGTGGGGGAGTACTCAAAGTACAGAGAATGGTTTGAGGAAAGGCAAAGGCGATTGGACAGCTTTGGACATGTATAAGGCACAGCAAGTGTTTCAGTCTTTATCATATTCATGGAGAAGAGTGCTATATAAGGATTGGGAGGGTAGCTTGGCTTCAGATTGTGGAGGGCCATGAAACCCAGACCAAGGATTTCAGGCTTTATTTAGAAGTCAAGAGAAAGCCAGTGAAGGGGACTGAACAGACATGTAATGTGACCAGATCTTTTCACAAGCAAAATTAATCTGGCTGTGGTATGAAGGATGGGGGTGTGAAGGATAGACTAGATTGAGGAGCATAGACAAAGGAAATGTGACCCTGTCTTCTTTCTTTTCTTTTTTTTTTTTTGAATGTCCCCTCCTAACTCCTTACCCTCAACTAAAAAAAATAAATAAAACCCTATAAATATGTATTGTTAAGCAAAGCAAATCACCACATCGGCCATGTCCAAAAATATCCATGGCTATGTCTATAACTTCTCTGACAGGAAAAGGTAATGTCAATTAATTAATTACTAATTAAAGTAATTACTAATTAAAGTAATACTAATTAAAGTAAATAGAAGGTATTTCGATTTACTTTTCTATCTCCCTGAAATGGATAGAGCACTGGGTCTGGAGTCAGGAAGACACTTAACTAGCTGTGCAGTTGTGGGTCACTTAACCTCTTTCCTCAGTTTCCTCAACCATAAAATGGGAATAATGACAGTGCCTACCTCCAAGATTGTTGTAAGGATCACATGAGATGATATCTGTAAAGCATTTAGCACCGTGCCAGAAACATAGTAGTCACTTAGTAAATGTTTCCTTCCTCCCTCCTCTCCCTTTCTTCTTTCCTTCCTTCCTTCCTTGACTTATCCCATGTTATTCCCCATGTCTAGTGTTCTCAATCCTACTGAATACTCCCTATCCTCTCCAACTCAAGTGCCTCTTCCTTCATGAACTGTCCTCTGATCCCCCTACTTGAATCACTTGATACCTCTCATAGCACTTTTTAAAAAATACCTTTCCAATGTAGTTACTGTGGATCATTTTGTATTATAATTATGAGCCTTATTTCCTTACAAGACTATAAACTCCATGAAGTCAGGGACTGTTTCTTATTTAAACTTTGGGTCTCTTCCTATGCCTGGTCTAGTATTCTGCAAGAAGTAGGTGCTTAATATTTTTTTTTGGTTATTTAATGAGATTGAATTGAATTGAATTGAGTTTAGCTCTCCTAGTCCAGCTGCATTCTTTTAAAACTCTTCTTTGGAAATCAGCAATTATATCTGGGTGATAAGATGCCAAGCACAGAAATAATCTTCAATCACCCCAAGAAAAATCTAATCCAACAAAGGTGTTTGGCTCTATGACAAAAATTTTACTTGCAAAAGTATTTTCCACTCTTTAATCAGAGTTTAATCCAAAGGGTGCTACAAATGCCTGTCATACTCCTTTCCATTTTTAACCTTTATTTTCTTTTCAATGAGAGTCTTGACAGCATTCCTGGGCTTCCCAGATGGAGAAAAACTGCTGGGAATTTTAGATGTCTACATCGAAGTGTTATGCATTTTAATTAATCCTTCAAATTACAATAGTACCTCCAGGGTATGAGTATAAAGGAATTGCCCCTCACAAATATAGCAAAACTTACAGCATCCAAATGACTGTCTCTCCTCACCCCACCTGTCTCATACACATTTAATAGATCACTTTTCTACATCTTATCATGGTTCCGAACCAAAGCCCTTCATTTACAACCCTCTACAGTAAGAAAGGCATGTCTTCTTATCCCCATTTTTCAGACAGAAAACTGAGGTTCAGTTTTCTGAATGACAAGAAAGCTATGGAAGAGCTCCCTACGATAACATAGTCAGAAAATGGCAAAACTTGAATCCCAAGCCAAGACTTCTAGTTCTAATTCACTGAGCTTTCCACTAAAAAATGTTGCCTGTATCTCTCTGACACTGAATACCTTTCCCTTCAGATTTCATTTACCACTTTGTTTTGTAGCTCTCTAATGCATTTTTTCATATAATAGTGTATCTAATAGGGCAACTAGGTGTCACAGTGGATAGACTGCTGCGCCTGGAGTTGGGAAGAGTCAGCTTCCTGAGTTCAAATCTGGCCTCAGGCATTTCCTAGCTGTGTGATACTGGGTAAGTCACTTAACTCTGTTTGCCTCAGTTTCCTCATCTATAAAAGAGCCAGAGAAGAAAACGGCAAAACCACTCCAGTATTTTTGCCAAGAAAACCCCAAATGTGGTCACGAAGAGTCAGACATGAATGAAAAAAGACTGAACAGTTTCCCTCAAAGGGAATTCCAGATACCAATTCAGTCATCAACCATCCAAACAAAAACCCTCAAACTAACCCCTTATATTCTCACACAAATCTCAGAAGCCATCTAACCCAATCTGTACCTGAAAGAGAATTCCTTCTCTAACATCCTTGACAATTCTCCTTGCAACCTGGCTCACTGGGGGCTAAGCAGAATAACACTCAGAAGTCAAGTAAAAGCAACAAGCATCTATTAATGGCCTACTGTATACCAGGCTACTGTGTGGGGATACAAAGAAATGGAAAAACAGCCCCTACCCTCAAGGAGTTCACAGTCTAATCTAATGGGGGAGACAATATGTGAACAACTATGTGCAAGTAAGATATGTACAAGGTACCCAGGAGATCCTCTCAGAGGGAGACTGGGGAAGATTTCTCACAGAAGGCGCGGGAGACTCCTGGGTACTACTCTGCTTAGTGGCCAGGGAGCCAGGTTGAAAGGAGGCTGATTTAGGCTTGATGTCAGGAAAAACTTCCTAACAACTGGAGCCCTCCAAAAGTGGAAAGGTGCT